CAGAGAGACCGACAGACGAGATTGACAGACGGGACTGACAGACAGAGTGATCGACAGACAGACACAGGCAGGCAGACATACAGACAGACAAACGGGAGAGACAGAAGAGACAGACATACACAGACAGACACACAGACGGAGAGTCCGACGCGAGACCGACTGAGACCAACGGAGAGACTGAAGGAGAGACCGACGGAGAGACCGACGGAGAGACCGAGAGACAGACACACAGAAGAGACAGACAGACAGACAGAAGAGACAGACAGATGAGACAGACAGACAAAAGAGACAGACAGACAGAAGAGACAGAAGAGACAGACAGACAGACAGACAGACAGACAGACAGACAGACAGAGGGACAGACTGAAAGACAAACAGAGACAGACCGAGGGACAGACGAAGAGACAGACAGAAGAGACTGAGAGACAGATGGACAAGACAGACATACGAGACAGACAGATGAGACAGACAGAAGAGACAGACCGACAGAGACCGACAGAGACATAGAGACAGACTGACAGAAGAGCCCGAAAGAAGAGGCCGGCAGAAGAGACAAAGAGACTGATGGAGAGACAGACGGCGAGACAGACAGAGGGACAGACAGAAGAGTCCGACAGACCAACAGAGACCGACAGACAAAGAGACAGAAGAGACAGACAGACAGAGACAGACAGACAGAGACAGACGAGACAGACAGACAGAGTGATCCACAGACAGACACAGACAGACACATAGACAGACAGAGAGACCGACGGAGAGACCAAGAGACTGACTGACAGACAGACCGAGAGACAGACAGACAGACAGACAGACAGAAGAGACAAAGAGACAGACGGCGATACCGACGGCGAGACAGACAGACAGAGAGAGAGAGAGACAGACAGACAGAGAGACAGGCAGACAGAGAGACCAACAGACAGAGAGACAGACAGACAGACCAAGAGACCAAGAGACAGACAGGCAGAAGAGACAGACAGAAGAGACCGAGAGACTGACAGACAAAGAGACCAAGAGACCGACAGACAAAGAGACCAAGAGACCGACAGACAAAGAGACAGACAGACAGACAGACAGACAGATCAGACAGACAGACAGACAGACAGACAGACAGACAGACAGACAGACAGACAGACAGACAGACAGACAGACAGACAGACAGACAGACAGACAGACAGACAGACGGAAAGACCGAGAGACCAAGAGACTGACTGACAGACAGACCGAGAGACAGACAGACAGAAGAGACAGACAGACAGAAGAGACAAAGAGACCGACGGAGAGACAGACGGCAAGACAGAAGGCGAGACAGACAGAGAGACAGGTTGACAGAGAGACAGGCTGACAGAGAGACAGGCTGACAGAGAGACAGGCAGACAGAGAGGGAGAGAGAGGGAGACATGGAGACAGAGACCCCTAATGTGACATTTAACGGTGGTGTTGGTAGATATAAAGAGCCAGTCATTCACTACACTATGGGAAAAGACCTAAGAGTTCACACATCAAAAAATAACAATGGGCATCTGACCTTTGCCATTTCAGAACCCACAAATGAATGGAGGGAAAGTTATTAGATGTTATATTAATAGTGTTAGAGTATATTTCTCTTAGTGAAGGTCTTTAAAATGTGTTTAAGCAAGTATAGAGAAGAACCAAAAATATTGATTATCCCCATCTGCTTTCTAAGATACTGCATTTTATATAAACATTGGAGCACAAAAGACTGTCCACCACAAAATAAGTTTAGACAGACTCTCTCCTTGCGGTTTAGCAACCGTGTGTAGTGTGTGCAATAGTATTGTGTTCACCAAACATACATCGTGCTTTAACAAAGAACTCTCCTTACAAAGCCAGATCAACACAGAACACACCCGGAAGTCCTCTGTCTACATGGATTAACAGGAAAAAGGCTGATTTCTATAGTCTTTAAAAAGGCTGATTTGGGAGGGGTGAACTAGTTAGCGTGTTATTACATTTTACATTTACATTTTAGTCATTTAGCAGACGCTCTTATCCAGAGCGACTTACAGTTAGTGAGTGCATATATTATTATTTTTTTATACTGTCCCCCTGTGGGAATCGAACCCACAACCCTGCCGTTGCAAACGCCATGCTCTACCAACTGAGCTACATCCCTGCCGGCCATTCCCTCCCCTACCCTGGACGACGCTGGGCCAATTGTGCGCCGCCCCATGGGTCTCCCGGTCGCGGCCGGCTACGACAGAGCCTGGATTCGAACCAGGATCTCTAGTGGCAAAGCTAGCACTGCAATGCAGTGCCTTAGACCACTGCGCCACTCAGGAGTGAAGTCATGCTGGAACTGCCCCTCAGAGCAAAACAGCTGCATCTGTGTGTGTGTACACCTACCTGTAGATAGCCGTGGTCGTGTCCTCGGCGTCTCAACTGCTGAGCACAGCAGCAGCCTGCCTCTATCCATATGCTCTATCCCACCGCCTCTCCTGTCTTCATCCCGCACACACATCACTAACCTGAGGGGGAACACAACACACATACACCATTGCGTGAGCCTAGCCCTATAAATGTTAGTTGGTCCAGGTGAGTGAGTTTGTTAGCGCTCTGAGGCTAAGCATGGCTACGCGCTCTAGTAAACTCCAACCCCACAGCCTACAGCACAGGAGATCGGTGGCACCTTAATTGTGGAGGACAGGCTCGTGGTAAAGGCTGGAGTGGAATTAGTGGAATGGTATCAAATACTTCAAACACATGGTTTCCAGGTGTTTGATGCCATTACATTTTCTCCGTTCCGGACATTATTATGAGCCATCCTCCCCTCAACAGCCTCCACTGGTCTACACACATGCACTTTGTTCATCCATCTCTTCCTTCGGTTCTTTCTTTAGGGGGATTGCTGTATTTGTGTGAATGTGTGTGCCTCAGTCACATTCTGCGGTCCATTTTTCACTGAGAGCTGTTCTGTCTTTTCAGTGAAGGACAGTGAATAAAGATGAGCATGCAGGTATCATTTGTATATAAAAACAGCATGGTGCCACACACACAGTTGTAAGATGTAAATGGGTTGCGTTTTGGCTGAGGCAGGGATAATCTTTCTAGTATTGTGTGTCTAAGATCTGTCAGACTACAGGTGAGAGCTAGCCTGGAGGACGAGACACCCACACACAGATGAATAATGTCCCTCTCTGCTACTGTCAGTGGGCCCAAAGGGACTGACTGACTGTGTGTGTGTGTGTGATATACATATTGTCTTTAGATACAGAATATGATATTGTTCAGATGTATGTGGGTACGGTATGGAATGCATTGGCGTGTGGCTTTCCACGTTTAACGAGTGCCTCTGCTCGTGTGTGTGTGTGTGTGTGTGTGTGTGTGTGTGTGTGTGTGTGTGAGAGAGAGAGAGAGAGAGAGAGAGAGAGAGAGAGAGAGAGAGAGAGAGAGAGAGAGAGAGAGAGAGAGAGAGAGAGAGAGAGAGAGAGAGAGAGAGAGAGAGATGGAGAGAGAGAGAGAGAGAGAGAGAGAGACCCCTCTTGTTCACAGCTGTTCCATAGCCACTCAGCCGTGCTGTGAGTCACTTAGATGATTGAATACACGTCTGTCACACATCACTCTGCACTTAGACACTGTACTCAGGCTGCACTTAGACAGAGAGAGACAGCCAAACACATAGAGAGGCCAGACACAGGATGGAGGGAGGTAGGGAGGGAGGGATGATCTATAAGGGATATTAATACATAATATAATACGTCTTGTGTGGCTTGAAATGTGTAGCTAGAAGTATGATACTCATGTACATATATATATATATATTCATGAGAAAGAGAGAGAGGGGCAGCGAGAGATGGAGAGACTTGTTTGTTTGATCAAGTAAAGAGTAAACTGTGTGTTTTGTGTTTGTGGGGGAGAGAAACCCATAGTCCCATCTGTATACTGTGTTTTAACTGCAGGCACACAAACCAAATGTCAACAACACGCTCTCCTCTCCTCCTCCTCCTCCTCCTCCTCTCCTACTCCTCTTCTCCTCTCCTCCTCCTCTTCTCCTCCTCCTCTCCTACTCCTCCTCCCCTACTCCTCTTCTCCTCCTCCTCTCCTCCTCCTCCTCCCCTCCTCTCCTCCTCCTCCTACTCCTCTCCTACGTACTCCTCTCCTCTTTCCGTTCCTCTCCTCTCCTCTCTGGTAAGATCAGTTGAGGACAATAGAGCCAGGCGTCAGAGAGCTGCTAAGGTAGGCTGTATGATCCTTCCAGAGTGGTCATAACGCTGAGCTAGAGATCAATAGGTCAAATTCTTTGTACTGTGATGTCCACGGACATCGTCGTCTCGGTTGTTTACAACGTTTAGCTCTGACAGAGACAAGAGTCCCGCGGGGGTTCTGGACGTCTCACACACTCACACATTGCACACTCTGGTCACTATGACAACCTATGTCAGAGCAGACCACCTGTCTCCACCACCAAATGCACACACATAAGCATACAGACACACACACACACACACACACACACACGTGTTCTGACTTAGAGCCAGCTGTAGAGACTTCTGTCATCAACCTCTCTCTTTCTCTCTCTAACCTTACCCTGACACAGCTGATCCCAAAGTTTACTGGCAAGTTTCTTCCTTCCTTCCTTCAAATTAGATATTTTCTTTCCCCATTCCTTTAGATATGACATGATTTGCACAGTAAAGACGGTTTATAATGAGTCGTGTGTGTTTATTTGCCACTGTGGTGTTGTCTGAGACAGACATGAAAGGAGTTGTCTGTGGCAGCACAGCCTGTGTGATTTGCTCTCATATCTGCGTTTGTTTATTTGTTGCTAATCTAACGCTTCGTTGAGGCTTCCAGGAATTCTACAGCTTTACTGCTGTAGATGAATTTGTGTAGCCTACACATAGTCAATTGACATGTCTTTCTCTATCTCCTTCCCTCTGCTTTATACTCCATTCCCCTTTCTCCTGGCCCATCTCCCTCCCTCCCTGCACCCTCCTCTCCCCCTCCCCCCATCTCTCCTCTCCCCACTCTTTCTCCTGCAGCATGTATCAGAGTTATTAGCAGTGGTGCGTCTTCCGTTCATCCACCCGTCCTACCTGCTGAACGTTGTGGACAACGAGGAGTTAATAAAGACGTCGGAGGCGTGTCGAGACCTGGTCAACGAGGCCAAGAGATATCACATGTTACCTCACGCCAGACAGGAGATGCAAACTCCTAGGACACGACCACGGCTATCTGCAGGTAGGTGTACACCAGGGATTGGCAACTGACGGGCCGCATGCGGCTCGGGGCCCCTCTTTTGAAGGCCCCTCGGATCAATAATTATCAAATAAATTATATTATATCTTTCTTAATTTTTTGAGGGGGGGGGGCTCAGTTGGGGTCTCAACGTACTGTTGCAAGTTAGAATAGTAGAATACACAAGGTGCAATTTCGAAATTTGGTTGTGTATCAGCAGTTTTATCTTATGTCTGTCACTGATTAGTCACTCAATTAGCCCATGTCAGCAAAAAACAAAAAATCGATTGGTAAATTAGCCTCGCAGTTAGCTATCTAAACTTAGTAATCATGGTCGAATTACCAGCCGAGGGGCCCCCATTGATTTTGTTAGTTTCACTTAGATATCATATTAAAAACTTTCAACATTTCTCTCCACCCTATGGCAAAATGAGTAGAATTGCATGAAATGAGTTATAAAATTGCTAAATATTCTCCCCGCCCCATGGCAAAATGTGTAGAATTGCAGCAAACTTGCTTTAAAACTGAAACTCTCTTTTTCTCTCTCTCTCGGATGCATGAGCCTTAGGCTATAGCCTAAACCTATTCATTTTTTTTGTAACAGACACTCCTTCACTATCTTGTGTCTAGCTGATTAAAAAAACGTAGCCTGTATTACCTTCTCTCGCTCCATTTGATAGGCTATGAATATGACTTTGGGCTATAGGCTACGCTTTCATCATTTTATGCATGGCTTTCTCCGGATCAAACAATGAATGTAACGGAGTTCCATCTCAAAAATTTATTTGAATAGCCTAAAAACTTAACGTAGCCAGGGGACTAATAATGAGAGAGAACATTCAATAGCCTATAGAAACATTTAACGACAAGTTCAATCAAAGCTTATTTAGAAAGAAATTATCCATACAGGCCGGGAAAATCCCTCCATGCGAGGTTGAAATTAAACCAAATGGTCAATAACCTATCATAAAAGCCTATCATAAAATCTTTAAGACAAGTTAAAGTTATGAACAGTAGCTTTTTCCCCAAATAATCTAGCCTAAGAAGGTGTTCTCCTATAGTTGCTGCTTTCAATAATAACAAGAATGAAAGTCTATAGCCTAAGCCTAGGTTATTCTCAATCACAGCTTTATGAGAGATAGAACAAACAATAGTATTTATTTACTATGTTATGAGACAAATAAAGCTATTATTATCCCGTTCTGAAAACGGGGGACAGTCAGTTTCTATCCAGCCCATTAAGTATAGCCTAACTCTCTAGGGTAAGACTGTTCGTCATCAGACATTCGCCACACAGACACACACACACACACACACACCTGTTCCATACTGAAGATACTCTATCAGAAAGGAAAATTAGAAAAGATTTGCCTCCACTTAGCCTCTGCCCAGGCTTTCAACAACATTATCTTTTGTCATGATTCGTCCGGTTGTAGCATTCCATTTTGTGCTATAGCCCAATGGTCGTTTTAGGTGAGTTTTTATTTATTTTTGGTTGGCCAATAGGGGGCGATACCATCGTATATTACAATGTTTTATGGGTACATCATCTAGATAGGACAAAGGTTGACATCGCCTAACCCTAACACACACACACAGTCACACACACACATGGGCTGTCACATGCATGCCAGGATATAGCTCAGTTGGTAGAGCATGGCTTTTGCAACGCCAGGGTTGTGGGTTCGATTCCCACGGGGGGCCAGTATGAAAAACTTAAAATAAAATGTATGCACTCACTAACTGTAAGTCGCTCTGGATAAGAGCGTCTGCTAAATGACTAAAATGTAAATATGCAATGTAGAAGGCACAATGAAGCAATGACTGAAATTCATATTTGGAGCAGGAGAAGAAAGAAATAACAAAAGTATGCCATTTACATCCGATGAAATACTTTGGATCGCATTAACAAACAATATTGGTGTCCAAAACCATCAGTAGTTTTCCAGTAATGTCAAAATGAAACAAAATAAGAGTTTGGGTTGTGTGTGAGCCCTGTTACTATGAAAGCTTTGGATGGCCAACCATAACAGTGTCCCTGGGATGTCTGTGCTGAGGAACTCGGGGTGCTTTTACAGTAGGCCCAATACATAAACATCTCCTAGTACCTCCTAAACACCAGCTGCTTTCAGCACAGAACAGTCCAGGCATTTACAGTATCTTATTCCTATTATTATTCTATAACAAGAAGTTAACTTCCAACCAGCCATTCACTCTCCAACCATTCAGGCTGTCCCATTCAGTTTGTTTACATCATTAAAGCAGATATTTATGGGAATAAGTAGCCCTGGACAGACAAAGTGCTTTTGTTCGTTAGATTTTCCTGCCACTCGGCCAAGTCTTTTTTCTGGTCCCCCCTCAATAAAGAGCTGTCTAATTAGTGTGTGTGTGTGTGTGTGCACGAAACTTATTAGCGCCTAGCACGAACATAACACATTTTCTGCTTGGTAGAATGAAGGTAATTGCTAAACAAATGTCACTTTATGGTGTGGACAGTTTATGAACCTGCCTTTTCTGTTCTGCTCAAGGTGCACGCACACACAATCTCTCTCTCTCTCATTGGTAAACAATCAGAGTAAATGGTGGTAGTTTAATGGTTTGTGTGTTTAATTGTTTAAATTGCAGAGTGGGGTAGTGGTTTTAGTTTTATGGAAGGGGGGAAGACTCTCGAAAAGACGTTCCAAAAACAATACTTGTGTATAATTCATTATGATAACAAGGTTCTCTCTCTCTCTCAATTCAATTCAATTTAAGGGTTTTATTCTCTCTCGCTCTCTCTCTCTCTCATCTGAGGTCAAACATCTCTCTATTCAGGGTTCTAGCCAGGCTTGGTCCCTGGTTAGTGTGTGACTGATTGAGTGTGGTGTTAGCCTGGCCATCTGGTCCTCTGGCTGACTTGGCTCTGAGATGCACAGCGGGGCTGAGTCAGAGGGACATGGAGGCTGCTCCTAAAGAAAGTTCAGTTAATCCTAATGGTGACCAGCAGTGACCTGTGTCAGGAGGAGGGAGAGAGGGAGGATGAGATAGTGGATGGGGGAGAGAGAAGGAGGGAGAGAAAGAGAAGTTGAGGGTGGACGAGAGAGAAATAGACAGAATAGTAGGAATTGAGGGAATGCAGTGTGTGTGTGTGTGTGTGTGAGCCTGAAAGATGGGGCACCACCTGAGCTTGGAAGATAAGTCTCTCAAGCGTTGAAAAAAAAAGGTGTGTGTGTCCGTAGACCTATCTCCCTGCCAGCGATCTCTGGTGTCACAGCAGGAGACACAGTTCACCAGAACAACATACTCCCCTACTCTACCTCATCCTTCTCCTTCATATCCTCTTCCTCTACTCCCCCTGTTACTTCTCCTCCTCTACCTCTTCAACCACTTTTTGATCATCCTCTTCCATCTCCTCCTCTCTCTCCTCCTCCCGTTGCTCTCTTGTCCACATCAGGACACATCAGTATCCTATCCCGGTGAAGATTTCTCACCACCTGCTACAGACAACAAGATTTCACGGTCTGACTTGAGTATTCAAAAGTTGTCCGGGAGTGGGGGTTAAGTTTACGCATTAATTCGGACTAGTTAAAGCCACACTCAGTAAGTCCAAGTTCAAAATCAGCTACGTCAGTTGGTTTCTTCATTCATTTGTTTTGTCGGGCCGGCAGTTGTACTTTTTTGTAAACAATCCCATGCAAGACACCATAGCGTGCTAGGCTGTCTGAGAGTTCTCAAACTGACACTGGGCCAGCCACCCTTTGATCCATTTCAGCCAGTATTCTAGTTTAAACAAGCATGTAGGCTCCTGTATTATAAAAAAGAACCATTTTCAAGTTGTGTCAGCTATGAACGTTACAGTAGTGAAATGTAATTGTAATTGACATAGCTAGACAACAATACTGAGGTGCAACAATAGCGCCAATATCTGCAGTGCGAAAACTGGCTAACTAGTTTTACTTACCAGTAGACAGCTAGCTGGCTTTCGTGATTCATTGGCAATGTCCTAGTGGATGGTATTGAAGGCATCTCCCGACGTCCTGGGGAGCTGGACAAATGTTGAATACTGAAGTGGATCTGGTGTGACCTGCCTGGAATACTTTTATACTGTACTGTATACGAATGCCTAAGCCTCCTATGTATCCATATGGGAGAGTGTTTAGTACAGTGTTGCGTACAAGACCCTGGTTACACACGCAGCCCAATTCAGATCTTTTGCCAATTATTTGCATATCTGATGCCTTTCTTTCCCCTAATGTGTAAACAGCAACAACAACAAAAAAACACATGTTTCTGATCTTTTCAGTTCTGATTTATACCACCTCCATAATGGCTGCGTTTCAACATGCAGCCCAATTCTTTTTTTCCACTAATTATCCTTTTGACCAATCACATCAAGCTGATCTGATTGGTCAAAAGCAGCCAGGTCATCTGTGATAAAAGTCAGTATTCGACGTCCATCCAGGACGTTGGGAGATGGCGTGGAAACCAGCCACTAGGGGCAACAGTGAGTGCTGTTACCTTGAAGTAGGTTTCGGTTTTGATGGGGCGTTGTGGACAGGGAGCATCTGCCTCTGGTGCCAAAGGTTGCATGTTCGAATCCATCAATAAAAAGTTGTTTTTGAGATTTTAGTTTTAAGCATATCCCAAACCTTAACCCTTATCATAACCATTCGGAGTTAATACCTAACCTAAAAATGTCGGGGTTAATGCCTAAACTTAACCTTAAACACTTTGAAATTTGACGTTTGGAACAACTTAAACATGGATGAACGTCTAATTCTTATGTGAGACTGAGAGCTAGTTGGTCAAAAGACCAACTAATGAAAAAAATATCAGAATTGCTTATCTAAATGCAGCCTACTGTAAGTGGATCTCAATCCCGACCCTCCATATGCAGCCTCTGTCTGGATACTCAGATCTGGGTATTTTTGCTCTGATATGTTTTTATTTTTTTCACATGACCTGCCCTTACTATGACAACCACTCCAAAATGTTAAGGAACACTGACAGGAAATGAGCATGGTATCTGTGTGCTACTTCAGAGGCTACATCAGTGTGAATGCACTAATCTGATATTAGTCACATGTAAAACTGAGTGTGGATAGTCAGGAAAAATGATTTGATATAGAAAGAAAATCAGATTTGGGTTCTTAGGGTGGCTGTGGAAACACAGCCTAACGCTTTTAACACACTGACTGCAGCATCATCTAGATATGTGTGCAACAAAAGTTCAACATTTACCTTCTGCTACCATTTCTGTCAACCCGTTTACACATACAGTTTGACGCATACGTTCGATAAATCCAACGTATGTATCACACAGAACACACCGCAGCTGCTTCTGCAACGCATTGCTGCAAGGCAAGCGCAGAGTTCCATTGGAAATGAATGAACTTCTGGTGTACCAAAACGCAATGATGCAGTCGGTGTGTTCAAAGCGTTAGACTCATAATGAACCATTCACACATCACTCCGGTGACTCTCCTAGCTACTAATTGGCTAATTAGAGACAGTATACTGTATGCAAGTGATTATCTGTCATTAGGTATTCTGAGGAACTCAGGGATTACATTGTGAATTTGTGAAGTTTACATCCAGAGATGTACAGTGCCTTCAGAAAGTATTCAGACCCCTTGACTTTTTCCAAATGTACAGCCTTATTCTAAAATTGATTAAATAAATAAAAATCCTCAGCAATCTACACACAATACCCCATAATGACAAAGCAAAAACGTTTTTTGCTAATTTATATATATTTTTTAAACCCGGAAATATCACATTTACATAAGTATTCAGACCTTTTACTCAGTAATTTGTTGAAGCACCTTTGGCAGCGATTACAACATTACAGCGATTACAGCATCAAGTCTTCTTGGGTATGACGCTACAAGCTTGGCACACCTGTATTTGGGGAGTTTTTCCCATTCTTCTCTGCAGATCCTCTCAAGCTCTATCAGGTTGGATGGGGAGCGTTGCTGCACAGCTATTTTCAGGTCTCTCCAGAGATGTTAGATCGGGTTCAAGTCCGGGCTCTGGCTGGGCCACTCAAGGACCTTCAGAGACTTGTCCCGAAGCCACTCCTGCGTTGTCTTGGCTGTGTGCTTAGGGTCGTTGTCCTGTTGGAAGGTGAACCTTCGCCCCAGTCTGAGGTACTGAGCGCTATGAAGCAGGTTTTCATCAAGGATCTCTCTGTACTTTGCTCCGATCATCTTTCCCTCGATCCTGACTAGTCTCGCAGTCCCTGCTGCTGAAGAACATCGCCACAGCATGATGCTGCCGCCACCATGCTTCACCGTAGGGATGAAGTTTCCCCCATTTACATTTAAATTTTCGTCATTTAGCAGTCGCTCTTATCCAGAGCGACTTACAAATTGGAAAATATTTACATTTTAGTCATTTAGCAGACGCTCTTATCCAGAGCGACTTACAGTTAGTGAGTACATACATTTTCATACTTTTTCATACTGGCCCCCCATGGGAATCGAACCCACAACCCTGGCGTTGCAAACGCCATGCTCTACCAACTGAGCTACACGGGACCTCCAGACGTGACGCTTGGCATTCAGGCCAAAGAGTTCAATTTTGGTTTCATCAGACCAGAGAATCTTGTTTCTCATGGTCTGAGAGTCTTTGGGTGCCTTTTGGCAAATTCCAAGCGGGCTGTCATGTGCCCTTTACTGAGGGGTGGCTTCTGTCTGGCCACTCTACCATAAAGGTCTGATTGGTGGAGTGCTGCAGAGATGGTTGTCCTTCTGTAAGGTTCTCCTATCTCCACAGAGGAACTCTTGAGCTCTGTCAGAGTGACCATCGGGTTCTTGGTCACCTCCCTGACCAAGGCCCTTCTCCTCCGATTGCTCAGTTTGGCCGGGCGGCCAGCTCTAGGAAGAGTCTTGGTGGTTCCAAACTTCTTCCATTTAAGAATGATGGAGGCCACTGTGTTCTTAGGGACCTTCAATGCTGCAGAAATATTTTAGTACCCTTCCCAAAATCTGTGCCTCGACACAATCCTGTCTCGGAGCTCTACGGACAATTCCTTTGACCTCATGGTTTGCTTTTGCTGTGGGACCTAATACAGACAGGTGTGTGCCTTTCCAAATCAAGTCCAATCAATTCAATTTACCACAGGTGGACTCCAATCAAGTTGTAGAAACATCTCATGGATGATCATTGGAAACAGGATGCACCTTAGCTCCATTTTGAGTCTCATAGCAAAGGGTCTGAATACTTATGTAAATAAGGTATTTTAGGTTTTATATTTGTATATACATTTGCAAGAATTTCTAAAAACCTGTTTTCACTTTGTCAATATGGGGTATTGTGTGTAGATTGCTGAGGATTTTTATTTATTTAATCCATTTTAGAATAAGGCTGTAATGTTTCCAAATGTGGAAAAAGCCAAAGGGTCTGAATACTTTCTGAAGGCACTGTATTTAGTCTTATTTTCTGATCCCTCTGTCTCCTGCTTGTTAATAAGGATCTGTTACTGAGACAAGACGTAAACCACAGTCAGTTTTTTACATCAATGAACAGTAGTGCTGAGTGATTAGTGCTTTTTGAGGTTGGTTCGGTCACGCACACACAAACACATGTTAAGCCTCTTCCTCACAGCAGCCATGCTCAGTGCAGCCCCAGAAAGGACAATCTAGAGCAAGGCCAAACCGTTAACTTAGCTCAGCCAAGTGTACTAGCACTCAGACAAATGAGCTGTAATGACTGGGGGACGTTTACTCCCACTCTATACACACACACACACACACACACACACACAGAGAGAGAGTCACATTCTACACATACAGTGCTTGGGCCCAGCTATATGCTCACCACACATTTACTTTAACATATACCGGCTAGAGCAGGGGGAAGGTCTGAAATGAGATTCTCATCTCTGTGACCATTTGCACTTTCTGTACACTAATATAACATTCACGAGCCACAAGCCCAGCATCTACACAGGAAATGATTAAACCACACACAGATACACACGCACTCACAGCACCTGCAAGAGAGGAGAGCGCACACAAACCGCATTGGAGCAGGTCTGAACTGGTTAAGCACTGACTTTTATCATGGTTTAGACTCAAACGCCTGCAGACCCAGTAGCTGTCCAGGAGGAGGGTAACCTTAAAACAGTAATAGTCATTATGTCAAATACAATCAGTAAAGAGAGTGGCCTGCAGACCTAGGAAACTGAAGATATTGGGAAGACTATATAAAGATGTTAAAGTCAGACTCTGACTTTAACACACACGCACACACACAAACACACACACTCTTGAAGTCCTACATTTGGAGTGGTGACATCATCATCTTATTCACACTTCTTGTCCCCCTCGGCCCTCTGGGGAAAAGACACAAGCCCCACTGAGACAGAGGCACTACTGAGACAGAAATGAGAACTACACACACACACGCACACAACTGACTCACACTAGACTCACAACTGCACAGGAGCACAGAGAAGATCATAAGATGATATATCATACTATTCGGTTCTGTCTGTCGCCTTTCGACTGAAGCACCGACCGAATTCACACACCGACTTCGCATTTACGTCGCCTAGCTCTGACTAGAGCCCTGTTTCAGCCAATAATTTAATTTATTTCTCATTTCACTTGAGTGATAGGACTTGAAATGTGTGAATTTGGAATGCAATTATAGGGTTTGTTATTTTGGGTAGTTGCGAGCATATGCATGGGTATTTGTGTACGTGCTAGTGTCCAGCTCCTGGTTTGAGTGATTATTCATGCTGGTTTGTTTTAAAGAGCCAATGTAGCGTGATATTACTCTGTGCTACGGTCTAAAGAGAAAAGCGGCACGGTCTGGACCGCTTGAGAATGGCTGAGACACACACACTATGAAGCCGAAGCTTCGGAAATGCCTTCAGCATATCATGATAATATCTAATCTCTTGCAATGTCGGAAGATGTAGGAGAGAGTAGAATAGAAGATAACGGTGGAGACGTTGATGTTTCTGGGTCTTATTGGTGAAAGTTTGAACAAATACATCATTTTCAGATTATACATTTAAATGGTACCGTAGCTAGTATATCCAGTGCAGTGAATATCAACCCCCTGGCTGTTGGCATGACGACACAGCTTTCTGACCACTGACCAGAGGATCAAGTACTGGCTGGCTGATTTGGCTCAGTTTCTTCCAAGAGCTCTAGATTATGCAGTGTACTGAACACACACACAAACACCAAATCCACACATGCAATGGTTTTCACATAACCAGGCTGGATGATTGTGATGAATATTGTATGAGGCTGTAGAGTCTTAGGTAGGTTAAACGGTCACATTTTGTGTGTGTGTGTGTGTGTGTGTGTGTGTGTGTGTGTGTGTGTGCTGGCAGAGTGCCTGCTAGTGCTGAGTCCCTGTCCCATTGTGCCGGTCTTTCAGGGCCTGGCTAGAGTCCCCTCACAGCAGGCCACAAATGCACACACCAACACACACCCACATGCTACTACACACATACACACACTAATACACACACACCCACACACATACACACCCTGAGAATACCCTTAGAGCACACACTTACTTAGACTGAAACACACTCCCTGATTCTTTGCCAGAATACCCTCACAGTAGGGGCCACACACACACACACACACACACACACAAACACACACACACACACATACACACTGTATCTGAGGCCCCTGGCCTCTTGATCCTCACCATACCAAATTACCTTCCTGGGAGAAAGAGCATAAGGTTAGGAGAAAGGAGGAGGAGAGGGAGGGAGTGAGAGGGCAGAGAGAAAAGGGGAGAGTGGGGCTTAGTGAGATATGAGAGGGATTGAGGGGAAAGAATGAGGGTCAAAGAGGAAGAGGACAGGGCAATGGGAGAGATCAAGGTGAGATATACAGAGAATGGATAGAGAGAGCAAGGTTGAACTGTGGAATAAATAGGAGAAGAGATAAAGATAAGAGCAGGAGGAGATAAAAAAAACAGAGGAAGCAGGCCTGAGAAGGGTTTAGCCGTCGGGGGGGAAAGAGGAGATAGCAGGGGCACAGCATGGAGGAGAACAAGGAGAGACCGAGGAGGCAAAGTGTGTGTGTGCAGTGGTGGGGAAAAGTACCCAGTTGTCATACTTGAGTTAAAGTAAAGATACAGTACCTTAATAGGAAATTACTCAAGTAAAAGTGAAAGTCACCCAGTAAAATACTACTACAGTAAAAAAAGTATTTGTTTTTAAATATACTTAAGTATCAAAAGTAAATGTAATTGCTAAAATATACTTACAGTGCTTTCGGAAAGTATTCAGACTCTGTCCTTTTTTCCACATGTTGTTACTTTACAGCCTTATTCTAAAATTGATTAAATACCTTTTTTTCCTCATTAATCTACACACAACACCCCATAATGACAAAGTCAATAAATGTTTGTTTTTTAAACAGAAATACCTTATTTACATAAGTATTCAGACCCTTTGCTATGAGACTCAAAATTGAGCTCAGGTGCATCCTGTTTCCATTGATCATCCGTGAGATGTTTCTACAACTTGATTGGAGTCCACCTGTGGTAAATTCAATTGATTTGACATGATTTGGAAAGGAACACACCTGTCTATATTAGGTCCCACAGTTGACAGCATGTCAGAGCAAAAACCAAGCCATGAGGTTGAAGGAATTGTCCGTAGAGCTCAGAGACAGGATTGTGTCGAGGCACAGATCTTGGGAAGGGTACCAAAACATTTCTGCAACATTGAAGGTCCCCAAGAACACAGTGGCCTCCATCATTCTTAAATGGAAGAAGTTTGGAACCACCAAGACTCTTCCTAGAGATGGCCACCTGGCAAAACTGAGCAATAGGGGGAGAAGGGCTCAATTTTGAGTCTCATAGCAAAGGGTCTGAATACTTATGTAAATAAGGTATCTGTTTTTTATTTTTAATACATTTGCTAAAATATATAAAAACCTGTTTTCGCTTTGTCATTATGGGGTATGGTGTGTAGATTGATGGAAAAATGTAATTTAATCAATTTTAGAATAAGGCTGTAACGTAACAAAATTTGGAAAACGTGAAGGGGTCTGAATACTTTCCGAATGCACTGTAAATAGGCTTTCTAGGGCAGACCAGGGCTTTTGGCGCCGCTAGGTTGCTACGCAGTAGCCGACCAACAAAGCTCATGACTTCACGCTCCAGACCGGACACTGGGGGCCTGGAGTAGGGTTGCAAAGAATTTTGGTAACTTTCAAGGAATAATTGTAATTGTAATTTTACCAGATGATATCTAGTGGCCTTTTTGGGTATTTCCGATTATCACAGGTGTCTGTAATTATCGCTGGCCCTCTGTGTGGCCTTATCATATGTAAAATATTTTAACATAAAAAACAGAATGACAAAGCTGTAAAACATGATCATAAATATAAATCATAAACTAAGTGAATACCATTGGTGTTTAATATGATATAATGCCATAGATTACCGTAATTACAAAAGATTCCGATAACTTTGGTCAATTACGGGTAGCTTTCAGCCATAGGTTGGAGCAAAGAGACGAGCGGTGTGGTTGGTTGTGTGTGTGTGTTCTACCGATGCTATGCTCAGCAGGTGGGCAGCTCACCTCGCAGAGTTCCCGCCCCCCCCCCCGCCTCTCCCTTTACTCTCATGGTCACGACACGGGAAATAAACCACAAGCTGTCAGCATTTCAGTTATCCCTCCATCCTCCCCTCCATCTTTCCATCCCTCCCTCCATCCACCCTTCTCCCCCACTGTCGTTTCAGTAGCTGACTGACAGCCGCCCCTGTGTGGGTCTGTTGTCAAGGAGAGTGTACTGTCTCACAACCCCTCAGAGGACATTTTAGCCACACATAGATTGATAGAGAGATGGAGAGAGAGGGAGCGAGATATTTTTTCACCTCCCTAACGAGCTGAGAAGCGTCTCTCAGCTTGACCTCAGGGAGCAGGGGTCAAGAGGCTACCGTCCAGATGTCATGTTCACTAGCAAAAACATTCTGCAATGGGAAAAACTAAAATGAGAGTTGCTTGTCTTGGCAGTTACTCCCCTGTCCCTGGTGTATGCATGAACCTTCAGGTTTTTATAATGTTGTAAAGAGAACAAGGATCTAAACATATACACTACCGGTCAAAGGTTTTAGAATACCTACTCATTCAAGGGTTTTTCTTAATTTTTTACTATTTTCTACATTGTAGAATACTAGTGAAGACATCAAAACTATGAAATAACACATATGGAATCATGTACAGTGAGGGTAAAAAGTATTTGATCCCCTGCTGATTTTATATGTTTGCCCACTGACAAAGAAATGATCAGTCTATAATTTTTATGGTAGGTTTATTTGAACAGTGAGAGACAGAATAACAACAAAAAAATCCAGAAAAACGCATGTAAAATTTTTTATGAATTGATTTGCATTTTAATGAGGGAAATAAGTATTTGACCCCTCTGCAAAACATGACTTAGTACTTGGTGGCAAAACCCTTGTTGGCAATCACAGAGGTCAGACGTTTCTTGTAATTGGCCACCAGGTTTGCACACATCTCAGGGGGGATTTTGTCCCACTCCTCTTTGCAGATCTCCTCCAAGTCATTATGGTTTCGAGGCTGACATTTGGCAACTCGAACCTTCAGCTCCCTCCACAGATGTTCTATGGGATTAAGGTCTGGAGACTGGCTAGGCCACTCCAGGACCTTAATGTGCTTCTTCTTGAGTCACTCCTTTGTTGCCTTGGCCGTGTGTTTTGGGTCATTGTCATGCTGGAATACCCATCCATGACCCATTTTCAATGCCCTGGCTGAGGGAAGGAGGTTCTCACCCAAGATTTGACGGTACATGGCCCGTCCATCGTCCCTTTGATACAGTGAAGTTGTCCTGTCCCCTTAGCAGAAAAACACCCCCAAAGCATAATGTTTCCACCTCTATGTTTGACGGTGGGGATGGTGGTCTTGGGGTCATAGGCAGCATTCCTCCTCCTCCAAACACGGCGAGTTGAGTTGATGCCAAAGAGCTCCATTTTGGTCTCATCTGACCACAACACTTTCACCCAGTTCTCCTCTGAATCATTCAGATGTTCATTGGCAAACTTGAGACGGGCCTGTATATGTGCTTTCTTGAGCAGGGGGACCTTGCGGGCGCTGCAGGATTTAAGTCCTTCACGGCGTAGTGTGTTACCAATTGTTTTCTTGGTGACTATGGTCCCAGCTGCCTTGAGATCATTGACAAGATCCTCCCGTGTAGTTCTGGGCTGATTCCTCACCGTTCTCATGATCATTGCAACTCCACGAGGTGAGATCTTGCATGGAGCCCCAGGCAGAGGGAGATTGACAGTTATTTTGTGTTTCGTCCATTTGCGAATAATCGCACCAACTGTTGTCACCTTCTCACCAAGCTGCTTGGCGATGGTCTTGTAGCCCATTCCAGCCTTGTGTAGGTCTACAATCTTGTCCCTGACATCCTTGGAGAGCTCTTTGGTCTTGGCCATGTTGGAGAGTTTGGAATCTGATTGATTGATTGCTTCTGTGGACAGGTGTCTTTTATACAGGTAACAAGCTGAGATTAAGAGCACTCCCTTTAAGAGTGTGCTCCTAATCTCAGCTTGTTACCTGTATAAAAGACACCTGGGAGCCAGAAATCTTTCTGATTGAGAGGGGGTCAAATACTTATTTACCTAATTAAAATGCAAATCAATTTATAACATTTTTGACATGCGTTTTTCTGGATTATTTTGTTGTTATGCTGTCTCTCACTGTTCAAATAAACCTACCATTAAAATTATAGACTGATCATTTCTTTGTCAGTGGGCAAACGTACAAAATCAGCAGGGGCTCAAATACTTTTTTTCCTCACTGTAGTAACCAAAAAAGTGTTAAACAAATCAAAATATATTTTATATTTGAGATTCTTCAAAGTAGCCACCCTTTGCCTTGATGACAGCTTTGCACACTCTTGGCATTCTCTCAACCAGCTTCATCTGGAATGCTTTTCCAACAGTCTTGAAGGAGTTCCCACATATGCTGAGCACTTGTTGGCTGCTTTTCCTTCACTCTGCGGTCCGACTCATCCCAAACCATCTCAATTTGGTTGAGGTCAGGGGATTGTGGAGGCCAGGTCATCTGATGCAGCACTCCATCACTCTCCTTCTTGGTAAAATATCCCTTACACAGCTTGGAGGTGTGTTGGGTCATTGTCCTGTTGAAAAACAAATGATAGTCCCACTAAACCCAAACCAGATGGGATGGCGTATCGCTGCAGAATGCTGTGGTAGCCATGCTGGTTAAGTGTACCTTGAATTCTAAATAAATCACAGACAGTGTCACCAGCAATGCACCCCGTCCATGCTTTACGGTGGGAAATACACATGCGGAGATCATCCGTTCACCCACACCGCGTCTCACAAAGCCACGGCGGATGGAACCAAAAATCTCCAATTTGGACTCCAGACCAAAGGACACATTTCCACCGGTCTAATGTCCATTGCTCGTGTTTCTTGGCCCAAGCAAGTCTCTTCTTATTATTGGTTTCCTTTAGTAGTGGTTTCTTTGCAGCAATTCAACCATGAAGGCCTTATTCACACAGTCTCCTCTGAACAGTTGATGTTGAGATGTGTCTGTTACTTGAACTCTGTGAAGCATTTATTTGGGCTGCAATTTCTGAGGCTGCTAACTCTAATGAACTTATCCTCTGCAGCAGAGGGAACTCTGGGTCTTCCATTCCTGTGGTGGTCCTCATGAGAGCCAGTTTCATCATAGCGCTTGATGGTTTTTGTGACTGCACTTGAAGAAACGTTCAAAGTTGAAATTTTCCGTATTGACTGACCTTCATGTCTTAAAGTAATGATGGACTGTCTTTTCTCTTTGCTTATTTGAGCTGTTCTTGCCATAATATGGACTTGGTCTTTTACCCTACCTTGTCACAACACAACTGATTGGCTCAAACGCATGAAGAAGGAAAGAAATTCCACAAATTCACTTTTAAGAAGTCACACCTGTTAATTGAAATGCATTCCAGGTGACTACCTCATGAAGCTGGTTGAGGGAACGCCAAGAGTTTGCAAAGCTGTCATCAAAGCAAAGGGTGGATATTTGAAGAATCTCAATTATAAAATATATTTTGATTTGTTTAACACTTTTTTGGTTACTACATGATTCCATACGTGTTATTTCATAGTTTTCATGTCTTCACTAGTATTCTACAATGTAGAAATATAGTAAAAATAAAGAAAAACCCTTGGATGAGTAGGTGTTCTGAAACTTTTGAATGGTAGTGTATGTTCAACCAATACATGATGTCTGTCCCATTATGTGTCAAGATGGTTGGCATTTACCTAAGAGCAGAGAATATACCATCAGCAGTACTATATATCAGCTGAATGTATGATCTAAACACATGTTCACTCCATATATTACATGTACTGTAGACATACATGTTTGGCATTTAACTCAGGACTAAGAATCACACATTCAGCAATACTGTAAAAGCACTATATCAGTTGGATATATGCCTGCAAATAGTACCTGGTGGTTGTGCTGTTGCCACTCTGAATACCTCAGAATTGCACTCAGCATTAAATCTATTTTTACACTGCTCTTATCTCATCCTCCTACACAAAATATACATGTTGTCACTATTTCCCTGTGTTAATAATCAGTCAGTGTTCGTTCGCCCATATCTTTTTTGTAGTTACAATGGCATCACATATTCATATTATTCGGTAAAGCTCTGGTAAATATGGGCCCATTTGCAATTCAACTGCCCTCTTAATCCTTGAAAGAAGAAGCAGTGCATTTTCCCAGCCATCCTATCCCAGTTTAAGTAGTATGTCATAGATATACAGTGAGGGAAAAAAGTATTTGATACCCTGCTGATTTTGTATGTTTGCCCACTGACAAAGACATGATCAGTCTATATTTTAATGGTAGGTTTATTTGAACAGTGAGAGACAGAATAACAAAAAAAAAAAACGCATGTCAAAGATGTTATAAATTGATTTGCATTTTAATGAGGGAAATAAGTATTTTACCCCCTCTCAATCAGAAAGATTTCTGGCTCCCAGAAATCTCTAGTGGCACAGTTAGCACTGCGATGCAGTGCCTTAGACCACTGCGCCACTTTCTTAGCTACAGTATACATATCTCCCTGGCATATTACATCATTTATGCAGCAGCATACAAGACATTTTTGGACTCACCTTGTTGAGCTGTGCTCACTTAAACAGGAAGGTGGCGCGGCAGTCCATTGTGGGCAAATTTTGTCATCAAACTTTGTCATCAAAGTCTGTCATTCTCTGGATTTATGGTGGGAATTCGGGAGAAAAAAAAACACAGCCACTCCACTGAATAGCAGGCTAGTGATTGCTTTGCAATGCTTGCAGTTAGCCACTGATTCCTTCCAAACCAGTCATTGTTGAATTTGCGATTTCCAACTTGTTGTTTAATGTCCGATGGCCGATGAGCACCGATACGTTTTATCTATAATGTCTCTTCATTATTTCTCTTCATATGACAAGGATTAGCCAGTAGATTGTCAATTTGATTCATGATGATGACTGCTAGCTAAGACTTTGAAAGTAAGCTGTTGACATGATCAGTCCAATCAACGTTACTGTACATATAAGAGACAAATGTAAGATGATTTGACATCATTTTATCTGTGGACAATGACCTTGAGTCTTCTTGGAAGAGCACTTACATTTAAAATTTTAAAATTTTAGTCATTTAGCAGACACTCTTATCCAGAGCGACTTAGTTAGTGAGTGCATACATTTTTCATACTAGCCCCCCGTGGGAATCGAACCCACAACCCTGGCGTTGCAAACGCCATGCTCTACCAACTGAGCTACACGGGGCCTACACTTCTAATGTAACTCTATGTCAGGACCCAAACGGCGTACATTTTCGATGTCTACGCTTACTAAGGACTTAGACATGGCGGTGATTGTTTTGCTAAAAATGTGGGGCTCAAAACAGGTGGGGCTCTCACCTGCCCTGAATGATGGGTCGCCACTGCACATTGTCTATCTGCTGTTGAGGGCTAAGAGGCCTGGAGAAACACGTGGTGTTTTTGTACAGCTTATGACGAGACACCCGCACACACACAAACTACACATCACTAGCATCTTCTGCCAACAGTAGTGTGTGTGTGTGTGTGTGTGTGTGTGTGTGTGTGTGTGTGTGTGTGTGTGTGTGTGTGTGTGTGTGTGGAGATGAGATGCTGGTAGTGTCCTGAACACATGGTTGAGCACTGAACATGAAGAGAATACTTATACTCACAGAGATCTCACTGATAAAAATACACACACACACACACACAAACACAAACACACACACAGGTTAATGGATGTGCTGCGCTGAATGCCCACTCCTTGAGATGAGACCCAGAATTCAAATGCTGTGTTTTGTAGTGCTGCTGTTCTTGAATACCCACACATTGATTTAGCATATTGATTTAGTAAGGGATTGAGGGCATGCTGTGAGTTTCACTAGCACCTAGAGAGAAGTGATGTGCTATCTGTGGGAATGGAGAAGAGAGGAGGCCAGAGAGGAGAGAGAGCGCAAACTGGAGAAATAAAAGTGTGGAGAGAGAGAGGTGTTATCTGTGGGGACGGAGGGAGAGGGAGGGAGGGAGAGGGAGGTAGGGGGGGAGAGGGAGAGAGAGAGAAAGAGGGAGGGAGGGAGGGAGAGAGGGATGGATGGAGATAGGGGTGTTATCTGTGGAAATGGAAAGAGGGAGAAAGAGAGGCGAGCCTCACGTGTCCAGCCTTCCAAAATCCTGTCTCTTATGCCGATGTTGGCAACAATTTAGCTGTCCCAGACACGTTTTTGAGATCTGAGACAAAATCCCCATGTCGTTGCCTACTTGGGGGCGCGCGGCCGTCATTGACGGTCGTTTAATGTGAGCGGGTCAAAGACGCAATCTGAGGGCTACCTTGCTGTCTCGATATTTTGAAACAGGTTCGATTTTATCGACACAAAATCTGCAACACTCTTCTAGTGTGAGATGTGCGACGAAAAGTTTTGGGAACGGTGATCAGCAATAGCCAATGAGAGCTCGCCAGTGAGACGACCTGTTTCCCAGAATGTGTAGACTCTCGAGCAGGGGCGATGACTGCTACTGGTATGAATTTGTACTTGCCTTAAACCAAAGCGTCAAATCGGTACAGCTCTGATGTTCACAAGCAATGTTATTCAATTCAAAATGTTGGCTAGATTGTTTAACTATGTATGGAAAGCGTGAACGTCTGAGTTAACGTTTATTAAGGCAGGTATGAGCCACAGCTCGTAGCTATTACATTAAATCACATTGTTTTCGCGAGACAGAATGGTATCGAGAATCCTCAAGACCAAGTGAAGAATCTTGTAGTGTGTCTGTGTCACATCGTTTAGTGTGCGCACCACTACGTTGGCAACACACAAAAAAACTACAGGAAAGATGGTCGTTTAATGTGAGAGTCTCAGCGATGTTAGGATTTTGAAAGACGTGTAGTGTCCACCTGGTTTACGTGAGAAGCCTGGGCTTTTGAGGCAGCCATAACCCATTTGAGAAACGATGTGCCTCTGAGCTGTCATGTGGGACATTCCCTCCAATTTTCCTGACACAAATGGACTAATTGTTTGTTACAAACATTGCTTGAACCTAACTATCCTATCACTATATAAATTGCACTGTAAATAAATAGCATATGTTTTTGCACATGAACTTCCGACTCCAAACCAACTAAATAGATTGCTGGGGTCCTCTATCTTAACAGAAACTCACTCACAAAATAAATATTCTCACCATATGGTACTGCAAGCACATGTTTAACAAGTTTCTCTTTGTCTCCTCTCTCCCTCTCATTTCCTCTCCCTCTCCCTCTCCCTCTCCCTCTCCCCTCCCCTCCCATCCCCTCCCCTCCCCTCCCCTCCCCTCCCTCTCCCTCTCCCCCTCCCCCTCCCTCTCCCCCTCCCCCTCCCTCTCTCTCCCTCTCCCTCTCCCTCTCCCTCTCCCTCTCCTCTCCCCTCCCTCCCCTCCCCTCCCCTCCCTCTCCCTCTCCCTCTCCCTCCCACACCTCACGCCTCCCTTCCTCTCTTCTCTCTCCCCCTCACCCCCCTAGGTGTGGCGGAGGTAATAGTGTTAATAGGTGGTCGCCAGGCCATCGGTATGAACCAGCGGTCTCTGACGGCGGTGACATGTTTTAACCCTCAGAACAGTAAGTGGTACCCACTGGCCAGCCTGCCCTTCTACGACAGAGAGTTATTCAGCGTCATCTCAGCAGGGGACAACATCTACCTGTCAGGTAGGCTAATGATGGGGACTGCCACAAACACACACATATGCATGCATGGACACACACACACACACACACACACACACACATTCTTACATAGTGTTAACATTAATATTCTTCCTATTATTTTAGAACTATATTCCTCCAGAGTTCTGTCTGTTCTCTCTTCCACACTCCTACACAGAGTTAGACCTTGACATTGGACTGTGAAACAGCACTACTAGGATTCGTCCTGCTGCATGTTCCCCTCTACCTCATTTCATATAAATGTAAATGTGTGTTGGGCCGGTGGACCTAGCCTATGTGTCTGTGGGGAGGCAGGCAGTCAGTGGGGAAATCAGCAGTGTACAGTAGTACTAACCATGGCTGAGAACTGTGTGTGTCCCTGCAGAGAATGGATGAAATGTCCACTCAGTTTGCTGCTTTCAAACCAAGCTACACTACATAGACAAATATTGGCAGTAGAATGGCCCGTACTGAAGAGCTCAGTGACTTTCCACGTGGCACCGTCATAGGATGCCACCTTTCCAACAAGTCAGTTCGTCAAATTTCTGCCCTGCTAGAGCTGCCCCGGTCAACTGTAAGTGCTGTTATTGGGAAGTGCAAATATCTAGGAGCAACAACGGCTCAGGTGCGAAGTGGTAGGCCACGCAAGCTCACAGAACGGGACCACCGAGTGCTGTAGCGTGTAAAAATCGTCTGTCCTCGCTCGCAACACTCACTACGGAGTTCCAAACTGCCTCTGGAAGCAACGTTTGCACAAGAACTGTTCTTCGGGGGCTCCATGAAATGGGTTTCCATGGCCGAGCAGCCCACACAAGCCTAAGATCACCATTCGCAATGCCAAGCGTCGGCTGGAGTGGTGTAAAGCTCGCCGCCATTGGACTATGGAGCAGTGGAAATGCGTTCTCTGGAGTGATGAATCACGCTTCACCATATGGCAGTCCGACAGACAAATCTGGGTTTGGTGGATGCCAGGAGAACGCTACCTGCCTGAATGCATAGTAATATAATATAATAATATAATATGCCATTTAGCAGACGCTTTTATCCAAAGCGATTTACAGTCATGTGTGCATACATTTCTACGTATGGGTGGTCCCGGGGATCGAACCCACTACCCTGGCGTTACAAGCGCCATGCTCTACCAATTGAGCTACAGAGGACCAAATGTAAAGTTTGGTGGAGGAGGAATAAGGGTCTGGGACTGTTTTTCATGGTTCGGGCTAGGCCCCTTAGTTCCAGTGAAGGGAAATCTTAATGCTACAGCATACAGTGACATTCTAGACGATTCTGTGCTTCCAACTTTGTGGCAACAGTTTGGGGAAGGCCCTTTCCTGTTTCAGCATGACAATGCCCCCGTGCACAAAGCGAACTCCATACAGAAATGGTTTGTCAAGATCGGTGTGGAAGAACTTGACTGGCCTGCACAGAGCCCTGAACTCAATCCCATCAAACACCTTTGGGATGAATTGGAACGCCGACTGCGAGCCAGGCCTAATCGCCTAACATCAGTGACTGACCTCACTAATGCTCTTGTGGCTGAATGGAAGCAAGTCCCCGAAGCAATGTTCCAACATCTAGTGGAGGCTGTTTTAGCAGCAAAGGGGGGACCAACTCCATATTAATGCCCATGATTTTGGAATGAGATGTTCGATGAGCAGGTGCCCACATACTTTTGCTTGTAACAATAAGGGGTTGAAATAAGGGTGGGTGTGGGGGATGGTATGTTGGTGGTACCTTGTTATATTTGCCCCCAGCTCACAACGATTCAGTAAGTTTTTACTGGTTTCTAATAAGTAATATCTTCAATTCGATATTTTTAAAATTTATATTACATTTTTTGCTAGGGTCTGATATGATGGTGGCTGACTTGTGTATTATGTGTGTGTGTTTAAGGTGGGACAGAGTCGGGTGTGACAGTAACTGACGTGTGGTGCTACATGTCTCTATTGGACAACTGGAACCTGGTGTCTCGTATGACGGTGCCTCGCTGCAGACACAACAGTCTGGTGTATGATGGGAAACTCTATACCATTGGAGGGCTGGGCGTGTCAGGAAACCTGAACCATGTAGAGAGGTAAGAGACTGACAAACTTGGACACTTGTACAGTATATGCTACTACATGTGCCTATGGAGTGGAAACAACTGTGGCTTGAGCTTGTAATGCTGCTAGTGTAGCAGTAAAGGAAGCTATGGTATGCGAACGAAACACGTTTGTAGGTGCTCTGCGTTGGGAGCAGAGTGAAAATAGGAATACCATTGTGACACATAGACAATAAAGTACTATTCCATTTATGTAGGACATTGTATGTAGGCTATACTTATACTGAAGTTATTTTAGTGTCTTTTATGTTACGAGGTCACATCAACTTTTACTTTTTCAATAGAGCTCCTTATGTATCGATGTCCTTGGGCAGAAGGATGGGGATTGTATGTAAGTCCCTGTGTGTGCAACTGTCTTGAGCTGTAGAAAAACGTTCCCCTTGAAGGACACTTAATGTCAAACTTTTTTATTAGTTAGTGGTTAAAATCAATTTCTGAACAGAAATAAACTCTTCCTTTCACGGCAGTCTAACAATGAGACAGGAAGCCTATAAGGTGATATGAATGGCAGTGGTAAAATGGCTTCATCTTCTGCTGCTCTCAACACAGTTGCCCACACACACACACACACACACACACACACACAACTGGGGTAGAATGTCTTCATATTTTTCTGCTCTCAGCCAGGCTGGGAAGATTAAACTGAGCAATCAAAAGAACATAACAGAATGTATTAGAACAGGCCACCGCTGCTCATTACAGAACGGAGTGGCTCTCCCAAGCCTCTCTCTCAATGTGACAAAACACACACACACAAGACAACACACAAAAACACACACTGAAGCTGTTCTCTCTCCGTGTAACATTGGTCCCCCAAATGGAATCATCTAATTTGATATGTCCCCATAACACTGCCATGCTGTGTCATTAAGACTGTGTCTGGCTGGAATATTGAACCCTGTAATGGAAACACATTTGATTCCTCTGCCTCGAGTCGCAGCTAGTAATTGCAGACCTAACATCGTCCCCAGGGTCGAATTGCTGGCACGTAGAGCCTGGTAACAGTGTGGGACTGTTTGGGACTTAGGGGGTGTGGATTTACTGAGTGACATGATAATCAATTCAAATTCTGAGCGAATCACACGACTATGAAACGTTGCTCCAAATCTTGGCGGAAAAGTGTTTATGTTGCACCACAGAAATAATTCCCTAGAACCCGAGGTAGTAGGAACATATTGCCGTTCATGCTAATCGGTAGCGAGCGTAAAGTTAAGACACGCCGTCAAAGGCAGTTGATAATGTATGTTGTGGTTGTGCAGAGCACTATCCCATTAAAAAGTACAAGCACAGTCTTTTTCCGCCCCAGTGGCAATGATGCAGAATGCTGCAGCTACTGTAAAGCACTGGAGGAGATTATTAGACCCATCTCTGTGGGAGATGGCTTGCCACTGGCAGTTTGTAGAAGATACTACAAAAGCAGCTGTGAATTGGCGTGAAAGGGCAGATTATTTTGAGAAAGAGCCCGTGTTGTCTCTGAATGCCGTTAGCAGACTCTGGAATGTCCATGTTGCACGAGCTAACCCAGTTCACTTTGTTGCACACGAACACAAAAACATAATTGGCCCCCCCGGATGCAGTACACTTAGGGGGAGGATCTAAGGTTTGTGCTAAATGGTGATGGACTGAGAGATCGGACAATTAAAATCAGCGGTTGTTTCGGCCGTTCTGAGGCACTCTGAAACCTGACGTCTCGACAGAGAGAGTGCCGGTTGGTGGGCGAGATTATTGCGGACCTAGCAGTGCATCTAGGCATTTACAGCCATACAAAGCCGCGATGTGTGCGCGTGCGTACGTGTTTTAATGATGATGCTCAGAGACCCTCAGCCAGTCTCAATTATCAACAATTGTCTGTCAGCCTGAAACGGTCAAAAAGATCTGTTGTTTGTTACCGGGGAACTCAGATGAATCGAGAAGGCAGTAGTGGAGAGGCGAGTACGTTTAAGGGGTTGAACAGAGGGGTGTGAACTACTAATGGACCGACAGAAACAGCAGGAGACTCAATCTGAGCATAATGTCACAGGGTTGAGGAACAGACTAAAAGTTACTTCAGTGCTGTGTCTTATCTGAGTGGTTGAAGTGTGTGTGCGGGTGTGCGTGAGAGTACATGCTGCATGGCTTACTGGTTGTAATTGCTCCCCAGGTGGCCGAGAGCTCCTCGTCTGAGGGATATTTATACTCTTGGCGTCACATACACACACACACACTCAGCCATTTACACACCCAGTGTCGTTAAGCCATTTATAGTCAGTTCCTTCCAGTATGGCTGGGCCAGCTAAGCACATGGATTTCTCATCAAAACAGCATTAAAACATGACAGGACTTGAACCTTTGCTCTCTAAAGACTTCTCAATACCGTCTCCCAGTTGGTCTTTTTATTTTACCTTTATTTAACTAGGCAAGTCAGTTAAGAACACATTCTTATTTACAATGACGGCCTACACCGGCCAAACCCGGACGACGCTGGGCCAATTGTGCACCGCCCTATGGGACTCCCAATCACGGCCGGTTGTGATACAGCCTGGAATCGAACCAGGGGGTCTGTAGTGACGCCTCAAGCACTGAGATGCAGTGCCTTAGACCGCTGCGCCACTCGGGTCTCTCATTTGCTATCTAGCATATGAACATATGGTAGTATAGTAGGTCTGTCTGTTGGTGGCCATCCGTCATTAAAATGAATAGAAACTGCCACATGCTGCGCTTGCAAAGTACAGTATGTGCATTTTGCAAACAGCTCCAGAGTTGGGGTCAATTCCATTTCAATTCCAGTCAATTCAGGAAGTACACTGACATTCCAATTATATTCAAAACTTTTCAATGAGGAACATTTTGAATTTGAATTTGGTTTACTTTCCTGAATTGACTGGAATTGAAATGGAATTAACCCCAACCCTGGATCTGTTTGCAAAATGCACATACTGTACTGTACTTTGCAAGTACTGCTCTCCATCCATTGACCATATTTTGGTTCTTCACAGCATTATTTTGTATGATGCCGTTTTGTGCAGTTTTGTTGAGTTGTCGTCAGTGGTCTGTCTTGTCTATCTACTGTATCTGTCTATCTGTTGTTTGATGTAGTGTCATGTGATTTGATATAGTGGTGTATGCGAGTGGCTGGTTTAGTATGCAGTATGCTCTAGCAGCCCTAGCAGCAGACTAACTGGGCCCCTGATGCTCTGCAGCCAGAGTTGATTTGCTCTACTCAAACACTGATTGGCATGCCTGATTGAGATTTGTTTACAGGCCTGTCTCCCAGTGTGTGTGTGTGTGCATGCGTGTGTGTGTCTGTGCATGCGTGTGTGTGTCTCTACCCATCTCATTTGTCAGTCAAGGCCTTAGCCCCAACCTCGGCACCTCCACCCCGCCCTGCCTCCTAATATGTGGCCCGGGCATCCATTTTGCTCTTGGTTTCATGGCTCCTAACCGTGAAATTCTCCTACATTCACAATGATGTCCTCAATCAGTCTGTCTCAGGGCTGCTACCTTTCTATACCAGCTCAACAGGAAACCACAGCAATAGTCTACTGTATCTGCGTCACTCACATCATATATATTCTACACACCCCTCTCAATAGAATAGGAATGACGGTAGTCAGTAGGAGCTGAAGACTGCAACGGATAATAATCTTGAGAAACAAAATAAATTCTCACATTCAATATCTGGGAGTGTTATAGTGGGCAACTTTATTTTTCACATAGTCAAGGCAGATCCCTATCCCTATAAGATGAATGACAAAGTATTCAGTACATAGTATAACCTAAGTGCTGTTGTAACTCACAATCAGGTATCTATGTAGTGTACCAACACTTTGAGCTGCTAGCCAACCTTATTGCTACATTTGAATAATCATGATTGAATGAAGTGTCAATCACAGATGGTTTTGTTGTATTAATCGAGCACTATGTACAGGCAGACAGGCACTTTGTGCTAGGCACGTTCCATTACCAGTTTATATTGCATGAAGATTATTAGCTAGCAACATGTCTAGCAGTACTTAATAAAGTGATATGGTGATTAGTTTAAGAAGCCTAGTATCCTCTAGTATAGACTCTGGTACAGGGTTTTCCAATCTAATCCTCAGGGACCACCAGTCCAGTCATTCCACATGTTTGTTCTATTCAACTTGTCAACTGATCCTCATTGTTTTTGATGAGTTGAATCAGGTGTTCTATCTAGAACAACTCTGTGCAACATCCCTGAGGGACTGGTGGTTTAGTAAAGAAGTGGATATGGTCTTGTTATTACTTTGGGAGAGACCTAGGCTCTAGTCTCTTCCCTGTAAAGTGTTGGAATGTTTTTTTTGTGTGTGTTGTGTTCCATTGCTGTGCTGCCCAGTGAGTTTCTATTCCATTCTGATGAGGTTAATTTCACCTTCTCGGTTTTTTGAGTGTGTGTGTGTGAAGGTTAAGCCTGTCTCAGTCTTGGCCTTCACAGAGGTATAGGCCTTGAGTAAATGTTGAATGTGTCTTTTCACAACATTTCATATTCAAATCAAATCAAATTGTATTTGTCACATGCGCCGAATACAACAGGTGTAGACCTTACAGTGAAATGCTTACTTACGAGCCCTTAACCAACAATGCAATTTTAAGAAATAATACAAAAAAATATATAAAATAAATAAACAAATAATAAGAAATAAAAGTAACAAATAATTCAAGAGAAAAAGTAAATAGTGAGGCTACAGTGAGGGAAAAAAGTATTTGATCCCCTGCTGATTTTGTACGTTTGCCCACTGACAAAGACATGATCAGTCTATAATGTTAATGGTAGGTTTATTTGAACAGTGAGAGACAGAATAACAACAAAAAAATCCAGAAAAACACATGTCCAAAATGTTATAAATTGATTTGCATTTTAATGAGGGAAATAAGTATTTGACCCCTCTGCAAAACATGATTTAGTACTTGGTGGCAAAACCCTTGTTGGCAATCACAGTGGTCAGATGTTTCTTGTAGTTGGCCACCAGGTTT